CTCGTTTCTTCTCCCCCAATTGCCACCCCTTCCTGGGCCCAGAGGCCTTTCGGGCTTCTCACCTCCTGTCAGGAAAGTACGCTGTCTGATGAACACATTTGTACTGACATGTTAGTAAAGTTATACATTATTCTTTCCAAGGTTAATGACTTTTAAAGTGGCACATGGGAAGAGGGGCAATGTTTAACCCCAGGGGAAAATTCTGGTAATTGAACTGTAAACATCAGAAGATGTATTACGTTTATATTGGGAATTTTCCCAGCACTTCTCCCTTTATGGCATGTAAATCATTACCTACTCCACTGGAGGTAAAGCCTGTCCTTGTTTTATTATTATTATTTCAGTATTTACATAACATATTAACTAATTGATTATATTATTATCATATAAGCTTGAATTTATTAGGCTTAGAGGGTAAGCCATTCTAAAACTCTAACTCCTTAGAGGAAGTTATATCTCTTTAACGACAGCTACAAAATGTTACCCAACACACACAGGGGATGGTGTAAGAACAGAAGCAATGGTTCTTCTTATCTAATAAACCTTGCATTTCTAGTTTACACTTGGACATCTGATCCTGGGAGCAACCCTGTATAACGTATGCTGGATAGTTAGTATGACCTGTATTCCCATTTTACAGAAGAGGAAACTGAGGCTTAGGGAACTTAAGTGCCTTGCCCAAGTTCATATAACTTAATGTGGGGAAGAGGTGAGGTAGGGCTCAAACTGGTCTCTTCACTTCAAGCCTGGGAGATATATACTAGCATACAGATAAGAAGGGAGAAATGAGAAAATATGATGTAAATAGGTAACTCCTAAAAAAGTAGGCATCACAATGTAAATACTGTAGACAGGATTTTCAGAGGCCTAATAATATCTTACAAAGAAACTGAGGCATCGTTTTGAACTTTATCTGAAAGGAAAGTCTTTCCAGTTATAATAAAGTTACAAACTAGAAGAGCTCAAAAAGTTCTCCAGCTTTGTAAGCGAAAACAGATCTGTCTTTAAGTGGCACAGGCCATGTCCTCCTCTCTCAACTCAAAGTACTCCAGGACAAGCAGAGAAAAACAGATCTGCAATCTGATTACTTTTTTTCAAAAGAGAGAAAATCAAAAAGAAATGTGAGAGTAGCTTGCTGGGAGTCCTTTACAGAGTAGTTCCTCTTAGAGATGGAGAATGAGAAGAAAGTTACTGTCATTTGACACACATTAGCTTAGACCAGGCACAAATCAAAGTCCTGCTCCTCCTGAAAGGTACATTTCACCTACAGTGCCCTCAGCCACACGATCAGAGTCTGTGGCAGACTGACTGCACCAATTCTCCACGACTTTTGTCATGCGGTTTTGTAGTTCATCTCACTAAAGACACAGAGTCTATTTCCTCACTCCCTTCAACCTGAGCTCACCCAAGGGCTTTGGACAATAGATGAGGCATAGACCACAAACAGGAAGCCTTGTGTGTTCCCACTTGCTCTGAAATTGCCATGAGAACCTGCCCAGGAGAGCCTGCTGGAGGATGAAAGACTTACGGAACATAACCACAGTCCACCTGGCTGAGGTCAGCCTAAAACAGCCAATAGTCAGCAGAGCCCCAGACAAGAGAGCAAGGTCTCAGAACTCTCAGACATACGGGTGAGCCAAGCCCGGCCTACAGGAACCTACAGCCAGTCAAGCTCCAGATGTGGGAGTGAGCCCAACCAAGAGCAGGACAGCCACCTGCCCAACCACCCCAGATGTGCGAGCAACAGCTCTTCTTGTTGCTTAACGACTAAGGTTTGGTGGTGGTTTGGCATGCAGCATTACTGGAGTAATAGATAACTGATACAGACTCCTAGCTTTTTGGCTCCACTCTTGTTAGAGGAGAGTCTAGAAAGCCAAAGACAGCTTCATGATACCTGACCACTCAGCAGTTTCATGGGGCAGCCAACCAATCCACTTCTTGTTTGTAGCATCCTGCCTTTGTCCCTGAAAGGATGCAAGCCTGTGGGTAATTCTGTAGGTAACCTCCCTTGGTATATTCCATTAATAGGCCAGCCCTGACCATATGAATCATGTAGATATAAAAGAATGAGGAAGGTCTATGCCTGTTAAAGATACTTGGTGGTAGCATAACATGGTTTCATTTATGTAAAAAAATTATAATAAAATATACGCATATGCATAGAAAAACGCCTCATACGACCTTACATACTGAGGCTTCCAAAACGTTTTTTTCCTGGGAAGCTAGGTGGGATTATAGGTTAACATTCTTCTTTTGCTTATCCATAATATCTGATTTTCCTGAAATGAACATGAATCTGTTTATAATTTTAACAGGGAGAAATATAAACCATGACAGAACGTTAAAACTTTAAAAGGAAAAGAACAAATATTTAAATTTATTTTCAGGGGTTGAGCAGGTTATTATTTATAGTTTGGCAATTATGCAGAATTGTCAGATGAAAATTAGCTGAGACTTTAAAAGCAGAAATCGGGGAAATTGTGAAAGACAGACAAAATTACTTGCAGACATATAAATAGTTGCCAGGTGCACCCAAATTAGCAATGCTAAAAAAAAACAAAAACAGGGGCTGGGTATAAGCCTTTTCCCATAAATTTCTGCCTAGAGCGGGGGTGAGAAAACTATTTCTGTAAAGCGTCTGATAGGAAATATTTGAGGCTTTGTGGGCCAGACTGACTGTTAAAACTACTCTGCCACTGTTCCACAAAAATAGCCTCTGGCACTCTGTGAATGAATGAACGTGAATGTGTCCAAATAAAACTTTACTTATAAAAGCAGGTGGCAGGCCGGATTTGGCCTTCCGCCATAGTTCGTCTACCTTTGGCGTAGATAAACCGCTGTCATAACAGTAGTAGCTAATGATCATATTGACCATAACTTACTATGTCATCGTGATAAAGTGTTCTCTGCACCGGCAGGCCCTGACCACCTTTGCCTGATGTCAAATCCTTTTCCTTCTTTATGTCTCAGCATCCTCTTCAAGAAGCCTGAGACTGCTTATCTTAGAAGAATGTTCTAGTCACCTATTTACTTGTCCTTCTCCTCCATTAGGCTAAGAGTACCTAACAGCAAGATAATATCTAAATCACTTTTATATCTCCAGAGCCTTGTGGAGAACCTGGACCACAGTAGATGCTCAATAAATGAATGTGAAGTGAATGATTCAGCAAAACAACAGTCAGATCAAGAGAATGAGAAGACAAGCCACAGCCTGGGAGAAAATACTTGCAAAAGACATCTCAAGTAAGACTGTTATCCAAAATATACAAAGAACTCTTAAAAGCCAACGATAAGAAAATGAACGACCCAATTAACAAATGGGCAATAGATCTGAGCAGACACCTCACCAAAGGAGATAGACATATGGCAAACAAGCATAAGAAAAGATGCTCAACATCCTATGTCTTTAAGGAATTGCAAATTAAAACAACAGTGAGATACCACTACACACCTATTAGGATGGCCAAAATCCAGAACACCAACCACACCAAATGCTGGTGAGGAAGTAAAGCAACATGAACTCGCATGTATTGCTGGTGGACATGCAAAACGGTACAGCCTCTTTGGAAGACAGTTTGTCAGTTTCTTACAAAACTAACATACTCTCCAAACAATCCAGCAATACTCCTTGGTATTTACCCAAAGTATTTGAAAACTTACGTCCACACAAAAACCTGCACACAGATGTTTATAGCAGCTTTATTCGTAATTGCTAAAACTCTGAAGCAACCAAGATGTCCTTCAGTAGGTGAATGGATAAACTGTGGAACATCCAAACAATGGAATATTAGCACTAAAAAGGAATGAGCTATCAAGCCATGAAAAGATATGGAGGAGGCTTAAATACATATTACTAAGTGAAGGAAGCCAGTCTGAAAAGGCTACATACTACATGATTCCAACTGTATGACATTCTGAAAAAGGCGAAACTATGGAGACAGTAGAAAGATCAGTGGTTGCCAGGAGTTGGGGACAAGGGGGAAGGATGAATAGGTGGAGCACAGAGGATTTTTAGGGCAGTGAGAATATTCTGCATGATATTATAATGATGGACACATGTCATTATACATTTGTCAAAATCCATAGAATGTACAACACCGAGAGTGAACCACAATGTGGACTATGGACTTTGGGTGATGATGATGGATCAGTGCAAGTTCAATGATGGTAACAAATGTACCTCTCTGGTGGGGGATGTTGATCATCGGGGAGGCTGGGCATGTGGGGGGAAAGGGGGTCTATGGGAAATCTCTGTACTTTCCACTCAATTTTGCTGTGAACCTACAACCAGTTTAAAAAATAAAATCTACTTAAAACACACACACAATCACATCATTATTGCAAGTGCTTACTCAGGTTCTTCTATGTCCTTTAGGAGACACTGAAAGCTAATTACCTGTAGGAAATGGTTTTGTAGATCTGACACCAAAAGCATAAATAACAAAAGAAAAAAACAGATAAATTGGACTTCATTAAAATTTAAAACTTTCGTGCTACAAATCAAGAAAGTCAAAAGACAGCCCATAGAACTGGAGAATATTTTTTACAAATCGTGTATCTAAGAAGGGACTGGTATCCAGAATATGTAAAGAATTCTTACAACTCAATAATAAAAAGGCAAATATGTCGATTTTAAAGTGGACAAAGGATTTAAATAGACATTTCTCCAAAGGTATACAAATCCATATTTCCTAGTACAAGAGTGAAATACCACAATAATAATAAGGACTGATAATACTATGAATTTTATGTTAAAAAGCAATTATTAAAATCTTTCAAATAAATAAATAGGGAAAGGGATTGACAATAAAACTGACTACTGGGAGAATGCATTAAGTGGATACATTTAAGAAAACCTTTATAATGGTTTATCCCCACCAATGTTATACAGTTTTAATAGTGATTAGATTATATGTAATTCTAATTTTTGCAGAATTGTTTGATGGACATTCAGTCATAACATTAATCGAAATAAGCTTTAAGAATTGGATGTAGGGACTTCCCTGGTGGTCCAGTTGGGCAAGACGCCTGCTCCCAATGCAGGGGGACCAGGTTCGATCCCTGGTCAGGGAACTAGATCCTGCATGCTGCACCTTAGATCCCACAGGCCGCAACTAAGACCAGGCACAGCCAAAATGAATAGATAAATATATTTTTTAAAAAAGTTGTATTTAATATTTTGTTATTTAAATGACGTCTCAAACCACTGCAGATATGAAAACACAGTGGGGAACGTCCAGGCCAATTTCTGCACAAAAGCTTGACATGGAAGAGGTAAGCGGAAAAGCAAAGCCTCAAGCTGATTTAGTCCTTTGGCTCCTAATAACTAACACAAACACTTGCCCTCAATCCCAAGACCATTCCAGTCCAGGTGAACTGAGCCGGAGCCCCGGGCACAGAGAAAGGGGGACTTGTGGTAGGTAGGAGTGGAACTTGCCTGTCCCTCCCTTGCCCTAAACCACTGTCACCAAACTTCTGCTAACAGCATGCATCTGAGCCAGAGTATGAGAGGGAAGACATCCCAAATATTAAATCAAGATTGGAGGAGCCAGGTCTGGGGGATAATCATCTACTTAAAATTTTGGATGTTTTAACAGTACCTGAAATTAAATTTATCACCGATAATCCCTTCTCAGCCATCTGTAATCCTTTATGGACTAAGACAGGTTTAACTGGATCATTAAAATAAAAATTGTTCCTTATATATGTATTTTTTTTAATTTTAGAAATGACAATATCAAAAGTTCAACTTCTGGAGAGGAACCAAGATGGCAGAGTTGAAGGACGTGCCCTTACTCCCTCTTGCAAGAACACCAGAATCACAACTAGTTGCTGGACAATCATTGACAAGAAGACACTGGAACTCACCAAAAAAGATACCCCACATCCAAAGACAAAGGAGGAGCCACAATGAGATGGTAGAAGGGGCACAATCACAGTAAAATCAAATCCCATAACTGGTGGGTGGGTGACTCACAGACTGGAGAACACTTATACCACAGAAGTCCACCCACTGGAGTGAAGGTTCTGAGCCCCACGTCAGGCTTCCCAACCTGGGGGTCCGGCAATGGGAGGAGGAATTCCTAGAGGATCAAACTTTGAAGCCTTGTGGGAATGGATTGCAGGACTTCGACAGGACTGGGGGAAACAGAGACTCCACTCTTGGAGGGCACACACAAAGTAGTGTGTGCATTGGGACCCAGGGGAGGGAGCAGTGACCCCAGGGGAGACTGAACCAGACCTACCTACTAGTGTTGGAGGGTCTCCTGCAGAGGTGGGGGGTGGCTGTGGATCACCGTGGAGACAAGGACACTGGCAGAAGAGTTCTGGGAAGTACTCCTTGGTATGAGCCCTCCCAGAGTCTGTCATTAGCCCCAACAAAGAGCCCAGGTAGGCTCCAGTGTTGGGTTGCCTCAGGCCAGACAACCAACATGGAGGGAACCCAGTCCCACCCATCAGCAGTCAAGTGGATTAAAGTTTTACTGAGCTCTGCCCACCAGAGCAACACCCAGGTCTACCCACCTCCAGTCCCTCCCATCAAGCCTCTTAGATAGCCTCATCCACCAGAGGGCAGACAGCAAAAGCAACAAGAACTACAATCCTGCAGCCTGTGGAACAAAAACCACATTCACAGAAAGATAGACAACATGAAAAGGCAGAAGGCTACGTACCAGATGAAGGAACAAGATAAAACCCCAGAAAAACAACTAAATGAAGTGGAGATAGGCAACCTTCCAGAAAAAGAATTCAGAATAATGATAGTGAAGATGATCCAGGACCTCAGAAAAAGAATGGAGGCAAAGACTGAGAAGATGCAAGAAATGTTTAACAAAGACCTAGAAGAATTAAAGAACAAACAGAGATGAACAATACAATAACTGAAATGAAAACTACACTGAAGGAATCAATAGCAGAATAACTGAGGCAGAAGAATGGATAAGTTACCTGAAAGACAGAATGGTGGAATTCACTGCCACAGAACAGAATAAAGAAAAAAGAATGGAAAGAAATGAAGACAGCCTAAGAGACCTCTGGGACAACATTAAATGCAACGACATTCATATTATAGGGGTCCCAGAAGGAGAAGAGAGAGAGAGGACCAGAGAAAATATTTGAAGAGATTATAGTCAAAAACTTCCCTAAAATGGAAAGGAAATAGCCACCCATGTCCAGGAAGCACAGCAAGTCCCATACAGGATAAATGCAAGGAGAAACACACTGAAACACATAGTAATCAAATTGGCAAAAATTAAAGACCAAGAAAAATTATTGAAAACAGCAAGAGGAAAACAAAAAATAACGTACAAGGGAACTCCCATAAGGTTAACAGCTGATTTCTCAGCAGAAACTCTGCAAGCCAGAAGGGAGTGGCATGATATACTTAAAGTGATGAAAGGGAAGAAACTACAACCAAGATTACTCTGCCTGGCAAGGATCTCATTCAGATGCCACCAGAAAACTACTAGAGCTAATCAATGAATGTGGTAAAGTTGCAGGATACAAAATTAATGCACAGCAATCTCTTGCATTCCTATACACTAATGATGAAATATCTGAAAGAGAAATTATGGAAACACTCCCATTTATCACCACAACAAAAAGAATAAAATACCTAGGAATAAACCTACCCAGGGAGACAAAAGACCTGTATGCAGAAAACTATAAGACACTGATGAAAGATATTAAAGATGATACAAACAGATGGAGAGATATGCCATGTTCTTGGATTTGAAGAATCAATATTGTGGAAATGACTATACTACCCAAAGCAATCTACAGATTCAATGCAATCCCTATCAAATTACCAATGGCATTTTTTTACAGAACTAGAACAAATCATCTTAAAATTTGTATGGAGATACAAAAGACCCCAAATAGCCAAAGCAGTCTTGAAGGAAAAAAATGGAGCTGCAGGAATCAGACTCCCTGACTTCAGACTATACTACAAAGCTACAGTAATCAAGACAATATGGTACTGGCACAAAAACAGAAACATAGATCAATGGAACAAGATAGGAAGCCCAGAGATAAACCCACACACCTATGGTCAACTAATCTATGACAAAGGAGGCAAAGATATACAATGGAGAAAAGACAGTCTCTTCAATAAGTGGTGCTGAGAAAACTGGACAGCTACATGTAAAAGAATGAAATTAGAACACTCCCTAACACCATACACAAAAATAAACTCAAAATGGAATCAAGACCTAAATGTAAGACTGGACACTATCAAACTCTTAGAGGAAAACATAGGAAGAACACTCTTTGACATAAATCACAGCAACATCTTTTTTAATCCACCTCCTAGAGTAATGGAAACAAAAATAAATAAATGGGACCTAATGAAACTTCAAAGCTTTTGCACAGCAAAGGAAACCATAAACAAGACAAAAAGACAACCCTCAGAATGGGAGAAAATATTTGCAAATGAATCAATGCACAAAAGATTAATCTCTAAAATATATAAACAGTTCATGCAGCTCAATATTAAAGAAACAAACAACCCAATCCAAAAATGGGCAGAAGACCTAAATAGACATTTCTCCAAAGAAGACATACATATGGCCAAGAAGCACATGAAAAGCTGCTCAACATCACTAATTATTGGAGAAATGCAAATCAAAACTACAATGAGGTATCACCTCACACCAGTTAGAATGGGCATCATCAGAAAATCTACAAACAACAAATGTTGGAGAGGCTGTGGAGAAAAGGAAACCCTCTTGCACTGTTGGTGGGAATGTAAATTGATACAGCCACTATGGAGAACAGGATGGAGGTTCCTTAAAAAACTAAAAATAGAATTACCATATGATCCAGCAATCCCACTACTGGGCATATACCCAGAGAAAACCATAATTCTAAAAGACACATGCACCCCAATGTTCACTGCAGCACTATTTACAATAGCCAGGTCATGGAAGCAACCTAAATGTCCATCGACAGACTAATGGATAAACAAGTTGTAGTACATATATACAATGGAATATTACTCAGACATAAAAAGGAACGAAATTGAGTCATTTGTTGAGACGTGGATGGATCTAGAGACTGTCATACAGAGTGAAGTAAGTCAGAAACAGGAAAACAAATATCGTATATTAACACATGTATGTGGAAACTAGAAAAATGGTACAGATGAACCGGTTTGCAGGACAGAAGTTGAGACACAGATGTAGAGAACAAACACGGACACCAAGGGGGAAAAACCGCAGTGGGGTGGGGATGGTCGTGTGCTGAATTGGGCGTTTGGGATTGACATGTATACACTGATGTGTATAAAATTGATGACTAATAAGAACCTGCAGTATAAACAAACAAACAAACAAAAAACAACTAATACTAAACTTTCTTTGGGTTATTTGTATGGAAATATGTTAATATAAATGTTTCAGACACTACATGAAATTTCTAAAAATCTTGTATGTTCTGGTATAATGTTATAAGTCATAATTCTAGTTATTACTTTAAAATGTATATCTCAGAAATAACTAAATTTCCTTGTCAATTGCATCATTATGAACTTTCATCAAATCTTTAACCGTGGTCATTTTTAAGTCTTGTCATTCACAGACAGTTCTGGGTGTACTCTGACGCTTTTGCAAAAATGTTCCTATAAAAGGGATTCATCTCAAGGAATTCATGGAAAAGACTCTGACAAGTACAGGTTTCTGGTAACTGCCTATACTGCTGAACTGAATAAGCATTTTCAGAACTCTAATGGAAAACTGATGAATTCATAAAAGTGCTAACAAAAGATCAAAATGAAAAAAAATTAATTACATGGGACTGAGTGAACTGATGAGGATGAATATAATTTTTGTGACTTTCTGTTTGAATAATAATTAAAAAATCCCACAAGGACTCAGAGGCAAAAAATATACAGATCAATTTTCACTGCAAAGTAAAGGAGCTGTTACAGTGGAGGATTCCTGGACTGAATGTCAATATTATGGCATAGTGTGAGTGTGTTTTGTGTTTGGTAATTGCAATCATTGTTGCTTCTGTTGTGGTCATCCACTTACAATGCTTGGTGTCAGTTTATTTATGCCTTTTAAAATGAAATACAGTGT